CTTCTCTGACTTGCTTTGGGCTTCTGGACCGCAGTTTCGGCGGCGAGTGTCAGCGGTCGACACGACATACAATCGGCCATGAAGCCCAGTCTCAACACCTCGTCCCTCAAACCTTTTGATTTCCTATACACCTCAACCTCACCCCGACACCGTCCAATAGAAGCACGACGGCAGGAACACCATCCCCCGATCCAGCACAAATCATCCCATCTGTATGTTCCAGTTCTATGATTTCTTATCCTGCAGCTTGGATCCGAATTTCAATCAATCGAACATGCGCAAACCCTAAACCCAAACCCTAGCCCAACGTCGTGCAGATGGTGGTTGGCCTGAATCCGCGTGGGCGGCGGGCCCAGCTGGTGTACCCTCAACCTTCATCCTTACGGCTGATGATCTAAATCCTGCATTACCCATAATAACGAATATACCATAATTCCCTTAGAAGGTAATATCATCAACAGTGGTAGTTAAAGGCCAAAGCGCAACCAAACAAAGAGAGGAAGCCGAAAGCCCCGAGCCCTAGACTGGCCTTAAAGCCGAAGAAGCCCTGAGCCGCGAACTTTGGTCAGGATCTTGAGGACTGCTGTTTGGAAGACTATCCCACCGAGCCCTACTAAGTGCTCACGTAGGCTTAAGGCCTGAAAACCTTAGACCCTTCAACCTTAAACCCTTAGCCCTTAGACCCGAAACACGCTTGGCTCCAAACATGAGCCCAAGAGCTCCGTAACCCAAACTTGGGTTTAATCCTGTCTTAAAGCGCTAAACCCTAAACCGTAAGCTTAACAAACACACTGGGACCCACAGGCTCGAGCCTCTGGAGCCTTTCAAAAGGCTTCTTCAGAGGTTTGGGGTGTAGGCTTTAGGGATATCTCATGGGGCTTAGGGTTTAGGGCCTTAGGGTTTATAAGCCTTAGGGATATAGGCTTTGCAGGGATATATCATGGGGTTTTGGGTTTTAGGGTTTCAGGCTCTAGGGTTGGATGGGTTTTGGGCGACCCGCGGACTCGAGCAGCTGGAGCCTTTTTTTTTGGTTGGTCTTTGGGCTTAGGGGCTTAGGGCTTAAGGCTTCTAAGGTTTAGGGTTTTGGATTTAAAGTTTAAGGTTTAGGGTTTTAGGATTTATTCAGGTTTAGGGTTTCGGGGTTTAGAAAGGTTCTATATATATATATATATGGGTTTTGGGGCTTGAGGTTGAATTTACTGACGGGGCCCGGATGATGCGAATGGGGTTTGGGGAATTGTCATGTTAACTGTACATGCGTAGTCCTCTAAATTGGGGTCCCTTTTAGGGTCCTTTTTCTGTAAAGGGTGCTGTGCTATGTTGAGGACCTACAAAGGGACCCAAATTAAGAGATCTGCCCATATCGGAACTACACGGATGGATCCTTGCAAGCAGGCCCGGCCCTTCACAGTGTACCCACAGGCTCCATAGTAGTGCCTTCTTGAATCCCCAAAAAGGAACTACTGTGGAGCCTATGGGTACAAGTCCTGCGAAGCTTTGTAACAGCCTCCGGAGCCCTTATCACACCCTTGAACCCTTCTAGACCACCTGTTTTTGCCTAAACCCCAAACCATAAACCCGCTACCAACCTTACCTGAAAGCCCGGCTCAACCCTGTAAAGCCCTAAACCTTAAATGAACCCTTGTAACGCCGTCATCCCGTATTTTTTCCGATCTTGGCTCGAGTGGATATCACATAAAACTTGAATAAGCATTTGTGGTTGTCGAAACACTCTACGAGACATGCCAAGGGTTTCGGATTTGGACTTCGGGGTGTCAGGAAGTTCTTGGCGGGATCTTTGTAAGTGTGCCTGATCAGAGTGTGTTTCCGTCGTTTGAATATGTTTCCAGGTTTGCCCCCGGAGATGTGAGTTACAAGGCTGCTGAGGTCTTGGGAATTTAGGGTCCCGGTCTTTGGGCATTTTTCAACCTAGGGTTCAGGGTGCAGGATAAAGGGAACCCTAAACCCAACAAAGTGAACATCGAGCACTTGGTGGGTGCTGGTGCTGAAAGCTTCCGACAGCGACTGCGCAGTCTTCAGTTTGGGGTGTACCCAAAGGCTCTTAAGTAGTTCCTTTTTATGGTTCATATTTGGAATCCTATAAGGTAATCCCCAAAAGGAACTACAAAGGAGCCCATGAGTAGGGTTTAGGTGTCAGGGGTTTGAGCCAGCGCCTTGTAACACCCGCCCCACAGCCATCCTTAGCTAAATGATTTTGGGTTACGGCTTTAGTTTTAGGGTTTTAGGGTTTGGGGGGTTTTAGGGTTTTAGAGTTTAGGCTTTTAGGGTTTTAGGGTTTAGGGTTTAGGTCTGGGATTTTCTCCTGGTGGAGGGGTTCTGGGCATCGTAAGCCGCAGCCATGACGGCGCGCTGTGGGCTGGGCAGGCCTCGATCGGAAGGCAAGGAAACCCGCGAAGAGCTGAGCGTTTCCAAGCCCTCTAGATACATAGCTAGATAGATATGGGGGTTTAGGGTATAGATAGATAGATAGATAGATAGATAAGCGGACAGAAGGTTAGATAGATAGACAGCCAACAGATAATATGCTCATAATGGGCAATAGTAACAATCGACAAGATACAGCAGTGGCCATCGAGTATATAAGGTTTCAGGACAGCTTGCACACTCCACTGCGGATTCCATGTCCATTCGGCATGCCCCTGGAGGGTGCAGCGCTTAGGGTTTAGCGTTTAGGGCATGACCGTATAAGGATCTTATACCCATACTGGTAGACGCGTGAAGAACGCGGCAAAAGACTCACAACCACCCAAACACATGAACACACAAAACACACACCCACGTGCGCGCGTGCGTGTGCGCCCGAAACCAGGTTTCCTGTCGATCTCATGTGCGCGATGTTCACTCAGATCATGATCTCATCTGAGAACGTCAAAGAGAAAATCTTGATGGGGGCCCCTCAATAGGCTTGGTTGCCTTGCTGCTGGTTAATAAAGCACGAAGCGAAGGATCACCGGTCACTTTACGCCTGAAGTACCACATCTCGAGCGAAGCAATGTGCAGCGAGGATGTTCAACGATTCATCAATGTACGGTTTGCACAGTAAAGCATGTCGTAAGCTGCAGGCACACACTAGAGGGTCCTCCACTGCTTCCGTTTATCTGACGAGCATCTTTGTTAGTGCCGGTCTCATCAATGCTCCCGGCTACCCGGCTACCCCTGCACTCTGTAATGTTTGGCCTTCTCAAAGAAGTCCTAGTCCCGTGGTAGTTGGCCCCCCCCCCCCACACACACACACACGGATAACTTCTGGAGATTGCCTGTAAACCCTCAAACTCGGCACGTAGCCTCAACCGCAAAATCCTGCAGCGATCCCTCCCCATATCTGCCCTCTTCCTTGCAATGACGGTCTGATTGCCAGGGCGGGCAATGCAGGATGCGCGGTGCCAGTGTTTGGAACGCAAGAGTTACAGTTAATTCTGTCAGAAGGTTTGGAGTTCAACACTTCGTCCCTAAACCCTATAAACCTAAACCCTAAAACCCAAACCCATCCTAAACCCCAAAACCTAAACCCTAAAGCCTAAAGCCTAATCCCTAAACCCCGTTTAGGATGGTACCGGAAGTTATTGTTGAGGAGACTCTTGAGGCCTCTTGGTTCAGAGGCTTCTATCAAATAATAGAATAATATAAAAAATTAATGTATGTATATATATATACATATATATATATATTAGCTGGCTAGGTTTGACCTTGTAAGGGGTTGTGTCAGTGGGGTTTGAAGGGGTTTTAAGCTTCGGGGTTCAGGGCGGTTGAGGGTGTTTGAAGTTTTTAAAGCTTTGGGGTTTAGGGCGGTTGAGGGTTTCGAGGGATTGCTAAAGGCTTGACGTTGCGAGTCTCTGTGATATCCTAAGGGTTCGGTAAACGGGGTACTACTGTACAAGGGTTACTATAAGGCTTCTACAATATAGGCTCTCTAATAATTAAATTAGAATTCATGAGGCTGCTTTCCCATGCGTGTGCGGGCCCGGCAACCGACGAACCGGTGTGACAAAGAGATGACACGCATCTGCTCGCGGAGATCGGTTAAGCAGGGCTGGGTCAGTACCGGAGACGAGCACCACACAAGAACTCCGAGGGAGCTGTGAGCGAAGAAGGTGATGCATCAGCTACAGTTATACGTATATTCGAAGGGGTTTCTAAAGGTTTTCAGACTTGGGCAGACCGAAAAGGGGCATTGAACAATCATATAAGCTCGAAAGCCTAAGCCATACTTAGCTTAGGGTTTAGGGTCTGAGCCATGCCGTTATGAATCAAGAATGCCTCACATGGAAGGAGACGCGTTCTTGAACTTTATGCTGTGGTTTAGGGGTTATACGACCTACTCTGAGAGGCGCCCAGTGAGCCAAACTTGGAAAGCTGATTACTCGCTTCAGGTGTAGCCCAATTATTCCCGATTGTTCCCAGATGATATAATCACTCGTCGCAAAATGGACCCCAGCACCCCTGTCTAAGGACCCAGGCCCCATAAAGACCATTCTAAACCCCTACACCCCAAACCCTAAGGCCCTAAGCCCTTAATTATATCCTAAGCTCTGAACCCTTAAACCCTAGACCCTCATCCCAGGCAGCTTCCTTCCGTCGGCTGCGGATGGCCGAGGCGACAGTCACTGAATCTGCAGCTGCACCGGGCGTGCGGTCCATCCTCGCTTTATGCAAGGCCCTTTAGGGTTTTGGGTTCCCTAAACCCTAACCCCAAAACCCCAGGCCCCAAACCCTCAACCCCTAAACCCTAAACCGTGTTCAGGGTTTCGGGCTCAGGGCTTTGGGCTTAGGCTCTAGGGCTTTAGGACTGCATGTCAAGATCAGTCATCTACATGGTGGTGCTGCCACACTATACTTGCATGGAGCTTATACTTGCAATGGCTGCACAAGGACCAAACACGGGTAAGTAGCCCCGGAACTGTCATTCGGTTCCAACTACCCCTCGTGAGACCATATGGCATTTCATATCAGCCACGGCTGAAAGGGCCAAGCAGCTTGAAATGCTCTCCCTCGCATCGCGAGCGGCATTGCAGTCGGTTCATCCACTCCGGCCAGTCTGTCACCGCGTTCCGAACTTGGGGGCGCATGTTGCATTGCCGAGTCATCCATGCATGTGTCGCCGGTCCAGCAGGGATGGAAGGAGTCGTTCTTTCAGGTTCTCCTTAAGCTCGGGGAAGCTTCAATCTTCCAGCTGTCATTGTCGCAATTGCGCGACCGAGCCAACTGATTTTGGACGAGTTTTGTCAGTGTCGGCGGGCCAGGCGCATACCTGTGCAGTACAGGCAGATGGCCAGCTAGTCTGCTTTGGAGACAACTACTTTGGGCAGTGCGACGTGCCAGCGGACTTGGGACCAGTGTTGACAGCCTCTGCAGGCTATAAGCACACCTGTGCAGTGCCTAGTTCAGTTTTGGCAACTACATTGACTTTGTCGTCGTATATTACCGTACATTCTTAAGAATACTAATAAGATTGCGGCTTAAATGGGCGTCTATGAACAGAAAAGGTACGGGCTGATGGTCAACTCGTTTGCTTTGGAGGCAACTTCCTCGGCCAGTGTGCTGTGCCAGGTGACTTAGGACGAGTCGTATCAGTCTCGGCGAGCTACGGACACACCTGCGCAGTGCAAGCAGACGGTCAGCTGGTATGCTTTGGGCACAATCCGAATAAACAGTGCGATGTGCCAGCAGATTTGGGACCTGTTTTGGCAGTGTCAACAGGATTTAATCATGCTTGCGCAGTGCAGGCAGATGGTCAGCTAGCCTGCTTTGGTAGCAATTGGCTTAAGCAGTGCAGTGTGCCAGCAAAGTTGGGTCCAGTTCTGGCAGTATCGGCGGCCTATAGAGATACCCATGCTGTCAGGAGTGATGGGCAGCTCGTTTGCTTTGGAGACAGATCTCGACGACAGCGCGATGTGCCATCAGGTTTGGGACCAGCTGTGGCGGTTTCAACCGGAGCACGCCATACCTGTGTAGTGCTTTCAGATGGTCAGCTCGTCTGTTTCGGGCAGAACAGGCGTGGGGAGTGTAAGGTGCCAGCTGATTCTTGGTCCAGCTTCACAATCCTTTTTTCCGTTTTGTGGTGTGGGTTTCCTGCCATATGGGTACTTCTCTAAAATAGAGTCCTTTTGGGGCTCCTTTTTATAAGGGTGCCGTACTATTTCGTGGAGGTACAAAGGGACCATAATTTAGAGGACTGCCCATATCAAAAGACAGACACTGATGTTTCTTCCTCCCGAACGTTGACCCAGGATTTGGGACCAGTCTCGAGTGTCTCGGCCGGCTATGATCACACCTGTGCTGTGACTGCGGATGGCCGACTCGTCTGTTTTGGTGAGAGCAGGTCTGGGCAGTGTGATGTGCCGGAGCCCTTGAAGATACAAAACGAGGTTTAAGGCTTAAGGTCACGCAGCGTGGTTTAGAGTAGAGTTTGAGGTTGTTTGGGAGGCCCCCTTTGCAGGATCGAACCTATCCAAGAATCTCCCACACTGTGCAGTGTGTTTCTGCGGTCTGTGGTTTAAGTCTCAAACCGTAAGACCTCTGCAGAAGCAGTGGGTGATTGCCCCTGAACCCCTACATGCCTTGGCCTTTTTTAGCACGAGGTTTTTGAGCTGGGTTGAGTCCGCGTTTGGGGTTTAGGGTGACTGCCTGACTCAATTCCCGGACCTTTGCCTGGGGTTGTCAAGTTCAGCCTGACTCATCTCGGAAACGGTGCCCATAGCATGAAGGAGGTACTTGGAAACCTCGTAAACTTGAATCACTGAACTCTGAAGTACCCTGCTTTGCAAACCTCGTGGCCAACGGCACAAGTCTGGATGGACACAGTTTTCTACGCGCAGTAGCAAGCCCTCTGCATCAATCTTGTATAACCTGCAAACACTCGAATCTGTATTGGGCCCTCCCCAGATACGGGTTAACGGCTCGCAAGTATACAGAGGACCTCGGACACTCCTGCAGCACAAGTTGTCTTGTAGCAGGTATTGACTAGCGACTATTCACTGTTGATGTATCTAGCTTTGAGGGTTCAAGTACCTGATATACCCAACTGCCTAGTAAGGAGCTACCTTGGACCAAGGCTCTCAAACCCTAAACCCTAAAACCCTAAATCCCTAAACCCTATAAACTCTAAACCCTAATTAAAACCCTAAATCCCTAAACCCTATAAACTCTAAAACCCTAAATCCCCAAACCCTATAAACTCTCAACCCTAAACCCTAAACCCTAAACTCCTAAACCCTAACTTTACTCATGCGTCGCAGTCTGCGGGTGCTTAAGGCCGCGCTAGATCCCCAGTCCAGACCCTTCAGCCTCAAACCTTGAGTTCCTCGTGCAAGCCCTACAGTTGGGCTCCCTGGTAGTTCCTTTTGGTTTAGGGTTTAGGGTTTAGGGTTTTGGGATGGCCTTATAGGATCCCACATATATAGGCTTTATAGTAGTTCTTTTTTGGGATGGCCTTATAGGATCCTACATATATGTAGGCTCTATAGTAGTTCCATTTTGTGGTTTATGTTTAAGATCCTATGAATAAGGCAATCCCCAAAAAGGAACTACTATGGAGCCTACGGCTAGATCAGATCCTGGACCTGTCCTAAAACTAGAGCCCTACACCCGAAGCCCTAGATGCTATTTGGTGGCCTCCAGTCTCCCCGAGGAGAGTCCAAGTAGACGCCCCAATCTGAGCCCCAAACCCTAAACCCCAAACCGCCCAAACCGTTTTGGGTTTCGGGTTTAGGTAGGGTTAGGGTTTAGGGTATAGAGCCTTGCTAGAAGCCTAACTAAACCTTAAACTCTTAACCAAAACGCCCTTACTAAACTCCTCCAGAAGCCGCTGTGGCACGCTTGCCAGGGCCGAGCACCGTCATTCAAAGTTTCTACTGGAAGCCCAGACACTTCCGAATCCCCTGGTTTTAACGGAAACCCAGGGAGCGCTTCTTCTGGGGGGCCGTTCCTGTAGCTCTCCTTACTGCCTACAGTTTAGCAGCCACTATACCCCCTTACTTATAGGAGGTAGAACCCAGAAAAAACTGTAGGTGATTCGACTCCCAGGTGGAGGGCTGATGAAACCCTAAACCCTATAGACCCTAAACAGGTTCTGATCTTGATGTGCAGAGATGTTCGTAAGTAGCGAGTTCGGGAGTCGCTGCATGAAGGTGCAATAGGAGGGACCCCTAGAAGGGACCCCTACCCCTAAATACCCTAGACTTAACCTTTCTATACCCCCCTTATATAGTCTCATAAAGCCACGGTGTAGGGCTTAGGGTTTAGGGAGCCCCATTTTTTTTCCCAAAGGGTCCCTTTAACGGTCTCTCCTTTCGTCCCTTGACTGCAGCAGCAGGCACGGGAGTGGCAAGAGGCGCTGGGCCTTCTGCAGACGGAGGAGGCCGACAGGGGGTGTACAGTTTAGGGTTTATAGGGTTTACGGTTTTTTGTGGTTTAGGGTTTATAGGGTTTAGGGTTTATAGGGTTTAGGGTTTAGGGGTTCAGGGTTTATAGGGTTTGCGGTTTAGGGGTGTAGGGGTTTAGGGTTTATACGGTTTAGGGTTTAGGGCCTAGGGTTTCGGGTCCCTAAGCCCTACCCATATAGTAGTTCCTTTTTTGGGGATTGCCTTATTTCTAGGATCCTAAATATAAACCACAAACAAGGAACTACGGAAGAGCCTATGGGTACAGGTTGAGTCCATAAGGCCTTCGGGCTCTTTGAATTCAGGGCGGTTTAGGCCTGGCTTGCTTTCGGTTATCCGCAGTAACTGGATCTGGGTCCCCCCCTTGGGTCTTACCTATAGTCTCCATTGTAGTTCCTTTTTGTGGTATAACCAAATCTATAATAAGGATCCTAAAAGGTAACCTCAAAGAGGAACTACTATGGAGATTAGTTTTGCAGAGGTTTGGCAGGGTTAGGGCTCGTGGGGTTTTGGTAGTGGTTACTGGAAACTCCAAACCCTACATAAGCCTAAACCATAAACAACCCGTAACCCCTTGATGGGTGGTTCTGGAGGGTTCAGGGTTTAGGGTTTAGGGTTGGCATTCAAGACGGGCATCCGAATCGTCAAGCAGAAACGCCACGGGCGTACTGCAAGTGTCAAACCTGCTGCATGACTCGCTCTAAAGCGTGCGGTTTTACAACGGGGACGGTGTAGGGCAACAGACTGCCTTGGGACCCCGCTCTTGGCGCCCGGATACCCCAAACCCTCAGACCCAATCCCCTAAACCCTAAACCCAAACCCTTTCTTCTAATTGCTATAAGGCCCCTAAAGCAACCCTCTATTCTAATTGCTGTAAGGCCCCTAACGTAACCCCTCTATTCTAATTGCTATAGGCCCCTAAAGTAACAGGCACCTTTATACAAAGGGCTTTAAACCCTAACAACCCTAAACCCTAAGCCCCTAAACCCCAAAACCCCAACCCTAAACCCTAAACCCTAAACACCCTATAAACCCTATAAACCCTACAAACCCTATAAACCCTATTTCCCCTAAACCCGCCCCGGAAAAGAATCTCGGCGAGGAGGCACTCAACTCCTGCGCCGCGCACAACGCCCTGATCAGCGCCGCAGGGAAGCGACGTCTCTGGGAGGCTGCCCTAGAGCTGTTCCTTCGGCTTTTTTTTGGGGGCTGGTAGGGCTTCAGTATTTATTATTATTATTTATATATATATAT